TTCATTTGGTGCCAGGGACTTTCCTTGTTGCCACATACATAAAGATGATAGCACTCATCAAGACGGAACACCTGCCTTCAGGGCAGTGGATAGCAATTGATGCAGGAGCTATGAGGTCACAGTGTAACTTGGGGGTGAAAGAAGACACTATGAACACAAGTTTAGGTTGCTGTCCCAGCCGTGCTTCTGTGATCTTACACAAGTTTCTTAGCTCATATAGACCTCAGTTTCTTCAGAAGATGCTTCCTCTTCCTTTGCAGTGTTGAGAGTTCTGTTGGTTAAGAGTTCAGAAGGTGCTGGCACAGTGACTGACACATTATAGACACTCGTAGCCATTGACTTCCCCTGCGCGCGTGCGTGTGCGAGAGAGTGAGTAACGTGAGTAGCTCCAAGAGCCAGTTGTATCACATTGCTTAGTTCGATTTTCTCGCGATAATAGCCTTGAGAGCCATAGTCTCACTTTTTTTTTTTTTTTTTTGGAGACAGCTGGGTCTCACGGTTGCCCAGGCTTGAGAGTGAGTGCCTTGTGCAGCGGAGCCCTAGCTCACAGCAAGCGCTCAAAACTCGTGCGCGTCGAAGGCGGAAGCCGCGCCGCGCGTGCGAGCCGTCCCGAGGAGCGCTGACTAGCAGCGAGCGGCGCGCCATGCCCTGCGTAATGTGTTGTGAAGGTATTAGTAGGTTGGCCCAAGGTGAGAGTGCGTGGGGGGGTTATTTGTATGTGTAGTAGACAGTCTTGCGTCGGCGGCAGGTGTGCGTGGAGGCGAATCACCCGTCGCGCGCGCGCGTGAGGGATTACAGGCGGTGAGCGCGCGCGCGGTGCGCTGGCGTCCATGCGTGTGTGCAGAGATGACAAAACGAGGTGGGCGCGCGGGGCACGCAGGGGTCACGCCCGCTGCTAATCCTAGCACTCTCGCGAGGCTAAGCGGGTTCAGGTGCTCGAAGGTCAGGGAGTCCTCCGCAGCCTGAGCGCAAGAGCAAGACCCCGTCGCTCTACGGGTATTAAATAGAAAGAAATAAATTGCCAACTCAGATATTATATAGAAAAAAATCTAGCCCGGGCGATGGGCGCATGCCGTGTGAGTCCCAGCTACTGCGGGGAGGCTGAGCAGGAGAGGTTGCTGAGCCCCAGGGAGTTTGAGGTTGCTGTGGGAGCCTAGCTGAGTGCCGACAGCCACCTCTAGCCTGGCAATAGAGTGAGAGCTCGGTATCTCAAAAAAAAAAAAAAAAGAAAGAAAAAGAAAAAACTGGATTGGAGAGGAGCCTTCGCTTTGGCAGAGTCTAAAGCCTTTTTGAACTTCTGAATCGCCTATTCGTATATGACGAGTGTATTTTTCTGCAGGAGCGATAGCTTGCAGATAAGTGAAAATCAGTCTTTATAAGCAGTGCTTGCTGATGAGCGCCTGTGAACTGTCTGTAGAAATCTGGGATCTGGGAAATTTTCCCAGTTGCCAGGAGTGCTGCCTGGCGCAGCGTCACTGGTGTCTGGGGTGTTAAGTTTTAAACACTGGTTAAACAAGTAATAAGCCCAAAAGTTGCCCTTAG